TTGCAACAAAAGTGAATATGGAAAAATAAAAGAAGCATTCGAGCTTTCAAACTCAATAAACAACGAAACAAACTTACTAGTACGTGCAGCAGCAACATCGTTCTAAAAGAAAGTTTAGCATGCCCAACTAGGCCCTCAAAAATAAAAAAGATATGTGCTGAAACCAATACAAAGCCAATTTTATTTTCTGCAGATGAGACATTAGCTTTTTTTTGGAAAATAATTTTACAAAGGACCAATATAATGCATTACGCCGCGAAAGTAGATTAAGAAACTGAAATTATAGTACTTTTCTCATTACTTACTCAAGATGGTGATTATGTGACTAATTTTAAGGAGGAGGGGGAGATGACTGCTGGTATTTTAAAATGCAGTTGTGGTAGAAAAAATCGGTTAATAACTAATGTCAAAAATCAAACTGATTGCACTATGTATTCTAAAACCACTCGAGCACCTACATTTATCACTAGGACTATTTAAAAAATTGGCGGAAAAGTCTGGTTTATGTATTGTAAATCATGTATTTTTTGTTTAATTTACTAATTTTACACTTTCTTTAACGCTTGCCTTCATTTTAGTTTGAAATAGTACAATATTTTAGTTGTAATTAATTTCGCACAGAAAAAGTGGTCATTAGACCTAGTGTGCAACGGTACCCCCGATATTCGGTATTTTGATGATTGTAGTCAAATTTTTCAATTAAATTGTCTGAAAATCCACATAAGGATTTCTTTCGCAATGGGAACTACAGTCTATGACAGAAAATTGTCTATGCAGGTCCATTTTCGTATTTCAATATTGTTAAGGCTTATGACAAAAGTTGCCTATGCAGGTCCACGTTTTCGTGTAGACCCCAATATAATGGATATATTTAGTATTTTTAAGATTTTAACCGAATTTTTAGCGTATGTTATATTTTTGAAATTTTCCAAATTAGTCCCAAATGGTGGAGGGTATTCAAAGTTCGGCCGGGACGAACTTACTGCTTTTTACTTGCTTAAATTAATTTCAATAGAAATTAAAAGGTAATACATTTTTCAATTCAAGGTAATTCATTTTTCATTTCAGCAAGTGCATTTTTAATTATCGCCTGAAACTCATTTACAACTCATTCCAAGGAGTGCACTTTAATACTATACTCTAGCAAAAGACCTGCCATGAAAGCAAAAAGGGTTGCATCCTAACTGGCGAACCCTCTTGTAGAATTCATGAGAGATTTTCCTACAAAGATGCGGTGCAACCACACATGTACCTGTATGCAAACATTTTTCTGGGAACATCTGTCCAACATCGGAGGCATGCGTCGAGAGAGTGGAACATATAGAGTATCGAATAAAACATTTGCCACTGACGTTTAATATACTATTCAAGATTTGTATTGACAAACTATTTTATAATTTTGTAAGTACTCCCAAGACCTATAGTAGGCCGCCCAGCATGGTAGAAATACCAGGTAGCAACATAGGCGAAAATTGCAACAAAGCAACTTGATATGTCAAAGTTGTAATCAGGGCGAATTGTTTCATCCAATCAAATTATTTAATTAAAAATGTTCAAAATTGTTGTTTTTTATATTAAAAATACAATTATTCGAAACTTCCAACATCGATTGAAAATAATGCTGAAGCCGCTGCATCTTGGTTTGATTTTAGCAGGTTTAATACAACTTTATTGAAAATCTTAGATACTGGAAATGGAGTGGTCGCCCATATTGCTTTAAAATTTGGTTTTGTGATGGTTCTTTGGTGTGCCATTTTTTTCTTTTGTTAAATCGTCAGCTTCCTCGTTTTTTCGTAATGTAGTACTTTAGGGTCTATTTACTCCACAGGCTTACCTAAGATTTGGATCAAAGATTGAAGAAGATACAGATACAGTCCAGGCATATTCTTTGGCCGGCTATAAAATGCATAGTAGACTTGCAGGAAGTCATTTATATATAGATAACTTTTATACATTTGGACATAAAGGTCAGTACGGGATGAATGTTTTGTTCCCCAAACGAATCCAATATGCTTTGGATTCATTCACCTTTCACTGTTGAAGCCCTGTAGTGTATAACATAGTTGAAAATCCGCACAAATAAGATGATGAAATTCATTTTAAATCTCCATATTATTTATGCCTACCATATGTTGAATATACACTTTTTCCATCATACTCTATAAAAACCTAACATCTCGATTTTCTATCAATTGCAACGTTAAAGTTTGAAATCATACAACAATTTTTTTATGTGTAAATGAAAGGCGAATTCAAATTACAACAATTTTTTGACATATCAAATTGATACCAGCTGGCCTGAAAGGGTTACCTTGTTATTCTACCATGCCGCCCAGTAAGTCCGGCTGACAACCAAGTTGTCTGTCAAAATATTTCTATTCGTAGTAAAATATGACATAATATGTTAAAGTTGTTGTAGTTTGAAATCGCCTTAAAATTTCAGAACTTAAATTAAATTTTCCACACGAATAAAACAAATACATCTATGTGCTTGTTACCCAAATACATGGTACAAAAAGGAGGTAAAACAGCTTCGTTATACCACAGAAATACAACCCTGAGGCTATGCCCACTTGTGGGAAAAATGTTCTTCGACTTCCCCAGGTACTAATGTGCATGGATATCTTAAGCTCATTGTAAACTTGTTTTACATATCTCTCTTGTAGATCAGTTATCAATGGTCGTTGTGATGTGTGTTGTGACATTTGGTTTCGGCTTTGCGACAAAATTCTGGCCGCCCGGACAAAAAACAAATCCAATTGCGGCCAGTTACCCTCCAAATAAGGCATATTTGGTGCAATCACAATTTTGGCAAACTACTCAACTCGATATGTGCGTTTCACATAAACATTCAAAGAAAGTCTTTGGAGATTGTTGAATTCTATCTGGGATTCTAGGGTCTTTGTATTGGTAGAAACAGACAATGTCTTAAAATGTGGTGTATACATTGATGCTTGTGTGTGGCTAATGGATATGGAATCCTAAATAAAATCGTACTTCGATTTCACTCTGGTCATTTATTTAAAATATTCAAGCCACACAATGTTAATTGTTTTATGAGGACATCTGGGAGTTCGATTCTTATGTCTTAAAATAATGTCAACTAAGGATCATTTTGGTGTAGCTACGTTTCAGCTAACGTTTTAGTCGTATTTTCAGCAGAATCATGGGAAATGTTTAACAATATCCGTGCTCTGATCTCATAGAGCGTAAAAACGTAGACTTACACCAATTTTCTCGATTAACAGTACGTTTACATATAAATGGGTTAGGATTTGGATTATAATTGTCATATCCATTATTTATACTTCAAATAAATCCTCTTAAAGTAGGTTAACCCTACAAAAAGTCCTTACATTTTTTTAAGTGAATTGGGATTTATTATAAGATAGGGGGCATATCATTTTATATGTATTCTTGATCAGCAGTAAATTCTATGTTCGTATATCTTTCTAATTTTACGTTTTATTTCATATAGCTCCCATGTGTCGGTCATCATGGGGCTTTGTGGAATTTACATTCGTCCATAAAGATATTTCAAATTGATTTACATATTGATAGATGGTAGATAAAAGCAGAAGGAACCTTGTGCTACCGAACGATTTAGGTGTTTTGAATACCTTTATAACATGTTTCCAATGGAAACCGAACAACGTTGTTCGCTCTCAGAATTAGGTACACGAATTAACCCGTTCCATAGACAAATGAAAATATAGACAACGAAAAGTTAGTTTTGTCTTTTTTTTCCAGGTGGCTCTCATCTTGTTTTGCATAGTCAACATGCTGATTTACGCGTTCAAGCCACTCGACTTCGAAAACACATTTTATCGTTTTTCAAGAATTTCACTGGAATATTCCTATATTTTTCGATGTCATCACGTACTTTTCACATTTCTTTTATTATGAAATAATTTTCAACCGGCAAATATGCTACAGTTTTTGTTATTTTTAACGTTTTAGAATTGAGTGACTTCAATATTCCCACTCAAACCCCTGAAACGATATGAACGACATCTGCTGATTCGATTTTTTTCGAAGATAAACGGTGAGAGCATTTCGTTGTCTATATTTTCATTTGTCTATGCCCGTTCATACGGCACGATTCGTAATTCATAGTAAAATAATTCCATTTTTCACAAATTTTGTTTGTTGATTTGAATGGGAATTTATACAAAAATACATAAAATTCTCACTAATATGAATAGAAGAAATAATTGTTTTTCTTCCAAAGAATAATGATATCATTAATTTTACAATTTTCATTCATGTTTTCAACTTTTTGTGTAAATATTGACATTTTGAACATATTTTTGTATTTTTCTATTTTTAAATTCTGCTGGAGAGACACTTGTCAAAAAATTTTTCTGCCGATACAAACATTTTGAAAATATTGCCTCTTTTGTTTGCAGTTTTCTGTGGAAATTTCAACTCGTGGACAAAATGCGTACCTCGAATGAGAGAGAAAGCTAAATGTACTTTCGTTTGAATGTACAAACGCCATTCAACATTGTAGTTTTCAATCATAAATGTCCGTCTTCCCAAAAATTTTTAAAATTTCATTAAATTTTTCTAGTTTTAATTTCTAAATGTCATAATTTATTTTTTCGATAAATGCTCTCATTTGTTAGGGATGGGACATATTTTTTCGTTGTTCTGAGAGTGATTTGATTTGAACAATGTACAAATATGAGTGTTCGCTCAGGAAATTTTGTGAGAAGAATTAACCCAGCGGATTTTTTAGCACATACATCTTCCATCTGAGACCAATGACAATGTAGGTGCGACCCATCCAAAGCCTGTATACAATTTCTACTTACATTTACACAGAGATGGCCTAGGCCGTCAGACGAGTCCGAAATCTACCGACAATGTAAGCGAATGTTGGATGGGTCCGAAATCGACCGACAACGTAAGCGAATGTTGGATGGGTCCGAAATCTATTAACATTGTAAGCGAAGGTTGGATGGGTCCGATTCCATCAACATTTTAGATTGTGGAACTTAAATTTCAGCTGTCTTTTATTAAAATATTCGTATTATAAACGTGTTTTCAACAATAAAATATTCTTATTATAATTAGAAATAATGCATAAAAACGAAATTCATAAAACTTATTCAAAAGACGTGGGAAGAAATAAAGCTTAGACTAAAGGAAAAAAATATATTTTTCCAGTTTTTTATTGTAGGACATTGTTCGGAAGTGTCTGGCCTTAGGGAATTTGAAACAATTTCTAATCCTGTTCATTGGATCCTTCACATATGACAGCTTCTGAAATAAGGATAAAAAATATAGAACAATTTTTTAATATTAAACAGTTATACTATAGAATAGACTAATGGACTACATTTTAAGGTAACATAATATCACTTTTCAATAAATATGTAAGAAAAAATTTAACTTACCGAAAATGGCCATGATTAAAATTTATATTCCTTAAACACCTTTTTGTTTTGGGTACCATCATAGCTGTAAGATAATATTATAGAAATGTCATTAATCTTGCAGAAGTTTTTAATCTGGCGAAATTATAATTTTTATGATACTAACCTGAAAGAATTTAAATTATTAATGGATTATAACGGAGAGTTTTTCATATTCTTACATATTTTCCAAAATCTTCTACAATTTTGGAATGCATGGAATCTGCTCAATTTGTAGAATATCATTGTTTTCCAAACAGTCCGTCCTCAACTGTGGATTTCTTGTTAAATTGTCTGCTTCCACTTTCTTTAGTCGTCTTAAATTACTCCTACTGAATCCTGACATTTTATTTAACTTATTTAACACACAACACTTACTACATTCTTATTTTATTAATTTACTTTATTAACTTTTGTTCAAAATTCACAACTTGCACTTTCAAAAACACTTCACAGAATAAAATTTTGCTTCAAAAAAGAAAGAAGCATCAAAAATGAATAACGGTACAACAGCAGCTGCAACAATAAACAAAAAAGTTACAAAACAATACAAAGGCATCCGATTCAGATGCAAGTGCGATGGACAGTTTTTATTGTATTTTGTTTTGTTCTTTAATTCTAACATGGATTTTGTTTCACAATGTAATAGCAAAACGACTCATCCGATTCGGATGCTAGTTGTATGCTATTAACCACTGTTATTTCATTTTTTCCTATTGACAATATAGCATACATTTGGATGGGTATTAAATTGTAATGGCCAGCGGACTGCTGGGAAGTAGTTTTTTCATAGTTAATAGCATGTTTCCATTGGAAACCGAACAACGTTGTTCGCTCTCAGAATTAGGTACACGAATTAACCCGTTCATACGGCACGATTCGTAATTTCCTTTTTTCAAAAAAATTGTTTGTTGATTTTAAAGGGAATGTATTCGAAAATACATGAAATTCTCACTAATATGAATATAAGAAATTACTGTTTTTCTTCCAAAGATTTATTATTTCATTAATTTTACAATTTTCATTCACGTTTTCAACTTTTTGTGTAAATGCTGACATTTTGAACATATTTTTGTGTTTTTCCATTTTTAAATTCTGCTGAAGAGACACTTGTCAAACATTTTTTCTGCCGATAGAAACATTTTGAAAATATTGACTATTTTGTTTGCAGTTTTCTGTAGAAATTTTAACTCGTGGACCAAATGCGTACCTCGAATGAGAGAGAAAACAAAATTTACTTTCGTTTGAATGTACATACGCCATTCAACATTGTAGTTTTCATTCATAATTTTCAGTCTTCCCAAAAATTTTTAAAATTTCATTAAATTTTACTATTTATAATTTTTAAATGTCATAATTTATTTTTTCGATAAATGCTCTCATTTGTTAGGGATGGGACATATTTTTTCGTTGTTCTGAGAGTGATTTGATTTGAAGAACGTACAAATATGAGTGTCCGCTCAGGAAATTTTGTGTGAAGAATTAGGTAGTTTTTTCATAGTTAAGGGTCAAACAACGAATAGAGAGCGAATCAAGTGCAGTGGAAACGCCACATAAGGGTCAAACAACGAATAGAGAGCGAATCAAGAGTAGTGGAAACACCACATTAGCACGTCCCAGCTACAGTGGCTGCAATTTAAAAAAGCTTAAGTTCGTGTGACACGTTTTAAATTCATAAAAATGGCAAAAAAATAACTGTTCCTGTCCTGTGAAGGATATATGAAGACCCGAATTTTATTTAAAGCAGCGCTGCTCAAGAAAAAATATTTCTTTCCAGTCGAATTTCTCTTTGCTTATTTAAATCAAGAACAAAAGAGTGTAAAGTCATTATTTTCACAAATATTTTTTATCCATTTGCTTTGTAAATAATTTTGTTAAACATTCATGTTAAAAAACAATAAAATTGAATCGTAAAATATAAAGAAAAACAGAATTTTAATATTCTCTTAAATTATCTCTTTTTCGGCTCATGTTCCAGAACGTGGTTTTGAGCAGGGCTAATTTTAAGGAGGTTTCTTACCCTCTAGGAACACAAATCATTTTTAATTATGGTACAAATCATGGTATACCGAAGACAAGGTAGGCTAAAATTACAAGAATAGAGGTCTACCTGTTTGGCTTATAATGTCAGAATTACTATCAAAACAATCAAAAAATCAAACAGCTTGTTGGAAGAAGAAACAAAAGGAAAATTACTGTCAATTTTGTTTTAAATTTTGTAAACTTCATCGAAATAGGCTTCAACAAATGAAATGTAATGAATCAACATACATTCATAATTTGAAAAATCTGTGCGGCTTCCTGAACAACAAGAAGACGGTTGGTCTTTTGTTAAAGAAGGCAACGCCCAGGTAAGTTGACGAGATGATTATGTTCCAAATGTATTAAATTTAATTGACAACTTTTGTGTTTCGCAAAGACAGGTTTTGGATCTTTTCCATTATCGCTTGGATAGCATTCCTTTCCCAGGTCTTGGTTTTTGGGTTAGATAATTGATCTCACCCCGAAGATCTTATGCGAGTAATGGTTTGAATGCATTGTCCCTATAACCACATAAAGTTTTACTATTAATAAACTAGTTCGAGCTCCTCATATCAGATTTTACTTATATAGGAGTTGAAATATATTTCATAGCCTGTTTTGAAGCGTTTTTTGGTGGAATTGTTCAATTTGCTTACAAATGTGCTCCATGCTTCGGATCCGCATTCATCTATTTTTTCCAAATTAAAATTTAACAAGTAAAAAAGCATTAAGTTCGGCCGGGCCGAACTTTGAATACCCTCCACCATTTGGAACGAATTAGAAAATTTTCAAAAAATAAAATCCATTAAAAATTGTGCTAAAATCTTGAAAATATGGGAAGGTGCCGATATATGGGAACCTATATACACAATTACTTTTCAGTGGTTAAAGTGCTCACAAAGAACTCCTTGTGTGGATTTTCAGACAATACCATAGGAAAATATGGCTAAAATCATCAAAATACCGAATATCGGGGATGCCGTTATATTGGGGATATGCGATATCGTTAACCTATATAGAGAATTCTCTGTCAGGGGGTAAACTGCTCACAAAGAACCTCTTGTGTACAATTTCAGACAATTCCGTTGAAAATGTAACTGAAATCATCAAAATACCGAATATCGGGGTTACCGTTATATGGGGGGATAACGATATCGTGTATATAGATAATTCTCTTCCAAGGGATAAAGTACTCACAATGAACTCCTCGTGTGGAATTTCAGACAATTCCATTGAAAAATGTGGCTAAGATCATCAATATAACGAATATCGGGAGGTACCATTATATGGGGGCTATACGATATCGTGGACCTATATAGATAATTCTCTTCCGAGGTATAATGTACCCACAAGGTATTCCTTGTGTGGATTTTCAGACAATTCCGTTGAAATATGTGGGTAAAATCATTAAAATACCGAATATCGGGGGGTACCGTTATATGGGGGCTATACGATATCGTCGACCTATATAGACAATTCTCTTTCAAGGGATAAAGTACCCATAAGGAACTCTTTGTGTGAATTATCAGACAATTCCGTTGAAAAATGTGGCTAAAATCATATAAATACCGAATATCGGGGGGTACCGTTATATGGGGGCTATACGATAACCTGGACCTATATAGACAATTCTCTTTCAAGGGATAAAGTACTCATAAGGAACTTCTTGTGTGGATTTTCAGACCATTCCATTAGAAAATGTGGCTAAAATTATCAAAATACCGAATATCGGGGGGTACCGTTATATTGGGGCTATACGATATCGTGGACCTATATAGATAATTCTCTTTCAAGCAATAAAGTACCTATAAGCAACTCCTTGTGTGGATTATCAGGCAATTCCGTTGAAAGATGTGGGTAAAATCATCAAAATACCGAATATCGGGGGGTTCCGTTATATGGGGGCTATACGATATCGTGGACCTATATAGAAAATTCTCTTTCAAGGGATAAAGTACTCATAAGGAACTTCTTGTGTGGATTTTCAGACCATTCCATTAGAAAATGTGGCTACAATTATCAAAATACCGAATATCGGGGGGTACCGTTATATGGGGGCTATACGATAACGTGGACCGATATAGCCCATTTTCGAACTTGACCTGCCTGCAGACAAAAGAGGGATCTGTGCAAAATTTTAGCTGCCTATCTTAATTCGTTTAGACTGTAGCGTGATTACAACAGACGGACAGACGGACGGACATGGCTAAATCGTCTTAGAATTTTACGCTGATCAAGAATATATATACTTTGTTGGGTCTAAAATGATTATTTCGATGAGTTACAAACGGAATGACGAACTTAATATACCCCCCATACTTTTTTGGTGGAGGGTATAAAAGCACATTTATCTGTCGTTCGTCCATTTTTATACCCTACACCACATAGTGGTAAGGGTATTATGTCTTTGTACATTTTTTTGTAACAAGGAGAAGGAAACGAGATAGACACATAGTTGATTTTGTTGATCTGCATAGAATCACATTTTGGGTCGATTTATGAATGTCCGTCCGTCTGTCTGTCCGTCTGTCTATGTATTTTTGTAAACAAAATGCACGTCGCATTTATTATTCGATTGAGTTGAAATTTTCCAAACGATATTTGTTTGGCCCAATGATTAACCCTATTGAAATTGGTGAGAATCGGTTCAAATTTAGATATAGCTCCCATATATATAAAATCTTGCGGCGAATTAAAATTACAACAACTCGTTTGACATTATTTTGACATTTCATTGTCAATCAGCTGAGCTGAATAGGCTACCTTCATCATTCTACCATGTTATCACATTTCACTACACAATAAACATGTTACCAAGGTAGATGTACTAGGTAATCGCCTCAACCCAGCTGACGGCACCATTAAATGTCAAAACAAATTGTTGTAATGAAGAATTCGCCCTAAATGAATGCAACAACAAATTTGTTTATGTTGTCTTCCCTAAAAGTAACTTTTTATAATATTTTAAAAAATTTAAGAGCAAGTTAAGAGTAAAACCAGTAAAAAAATAAAAGAAAATGAAGGAAGGAGGTTAGAATGGAGTGCAGCTTTAAGAATTAAATTAGCCTCAACATCTAAGATTCCCAAAGCACATCACGGGAAGTAGTGCAAGAATTCGACTCTTGTCATTTGCAGTTCCGGAAAACTTTCGGTTTAAACCAGTAAAATATAGTCATTATAAGTTTCTTGACTTAAAAAATATCGCAATACTACAATTAATACTTATTTTACTCTTATTTGTTTTACAATAAAAACTTTTATTGCGACGTTCGTTTACGACGAGAGGCACACAAAATAAAATGTAACAAACACCTCGTTTCTGATTGGTTGAAACAAATTTGCCGCAACCTTTAAATGTCATGGCGAATCAATGTTTTTCGCCTTAGATGCCAATTTTGACATTTGAGGGGACCACAAAAGTTGCTTTGTTGTAGCAATTCGCCGATGCGGCTACCTGTTAGATCTACCTTGCATGTTACCAATATCGGATTTGTGTATATGAAAGTTTTTTTTTTATATGAAAGTAATTTTCAATTTATTTTTTTTCACAAAAAATTTCGAATTTACTTTAAAAACTCTTATAAAAAACCTAATTAATAAAACAGAAAAAAACGGAATTAACCTCGTACCAATTCTGGCATTCCGTCAAAAATAATTTGCAGAGCTTTCAAGTCTTTTGTTGCAGTATCGGTAAGAACTTCCATTGCTTTTTGTTGCATGCTCAAAAAGGATTTCATTTCTTCCTC